AGATCTTGGTGGTGAGTCATGGGAGAAACGTACACGTGTGTGTGTGGGCTGCAGACAGGTTGGATACCAGAAAATCGCTCCCTGTCTGCTACTGGACCGGTGACGCGTGAGCCACTCCACCCCACCCCCCCAAAACCCCACCGCTTTCATTGTCTGTAGACAGCCGAAGCCCTACCTAATGACCCGGCTGCCAAAGCGACAGCAAGCCGGGGGTAGGCGCTCAGGTGGGCCCCCACCCCGCCGTAAACGACAGCGCCGCACGTGATCCATTAGCCGACAGGGCCTCTCCTGCGGTCTCGCCCAGATCCGCGAGCTGCTGAATCCCTAACTTCCCACCGTACATTTTACTCATTCTGGGGGGGGTTACACTCCGGAGCAGCAGAGCCGGCAAACGAAGCAGTGCGGCATTAGCATCGCTGTCCTAATGCCACGGTGCGAGGGCATAGCTGCCCGGCGGCAGAGTGCTCAGCGCAGATACCATAACGTTACAGCACTGCACGGCGGTAAATCAGTGCAGGGCCAGCTTTGGACTGGGAGGGCTATTCCTGCAGCTATGGATAACACATACAGCAACCTTGCTGTCCAAAGAGTCCCGGAGCACACAGGCGAGGACCTGCATCTTACCCACCGCTCTGCACACCTGACGTCCTCCACAGCACCCCTCTCTAACACGGTTACCCTCCCTAAATTTGTCCCTCCTCCCCTAACCAGCTGCGGAACTAAGACATTTTTTTAAGGCGGAGCTAAAATCTATACAGAGGGACCACCCTTATCATTAGCCAATGAAATGCTTTGAATGGGTGAGTGACAGGGGAGGGGTGCTCTAGGGGCCAATCAGCTTTCAGCTGGGGCCAGTGTCCCTGTGGCCCCGCCCCCGTATACACTCTTGGCCCTAATGTACAACAGAACGTCTCGCCCGACCGGAGCTCCAGCTTCCGCTTCCCGCACTGGCCCGAGACATCCGTCATGGCAGGGCCCCCCTAAGCCAGTGGCACAGTTAGTGGGCCGCCTCTGGCTGCTAGCCACCATAATACCCATTTCCGGAAGGTTTTATATAAGAAAAATGTCATGGAAAGAGGATAATAAAAAAGGTAAATCCTACAGTATGATAGCAGCTACTGAATATAGCAGAAAATTCCATTTCTAGTGAGTGACCTTTGCTTGCCGGTGAATCTTTTATCATTATCGACTGTTAGGCTGCTTCAGCATTATGGCTGACCCTCAGAGCTTACTGCAAACGCTGCAGCACTGAATTATATTTGGACTGGGAGAAAGTGTGAGAAATTATATGTGGTTCTGTGTCAGGAAGCACAGGAGTATAAATGTTAATTGTTAAACGACTGGCTGATGAGAGATGGCAGCTGAACATGAAGACAAACGATGACTGGATGAGGCTCGGCCTGCGCCAGGTGGGTGGCTTCACCTCATTGGTTAATCCCTCTGAACACTGGAAAAAGTGTTTCTGCATTGTTCTATGTCACCCCAAAGCTGGAGAGTGTGTGTGTGTGTCTATGTGTGTGTGTGTGTGTGTGTTTGTGTGTCTATGTGTGTGTGTGTGTGTGCATTAACTGTTTGCATTAACAGAAGGCTGCCGATCCAGTTGCCAGATTGATTTCACTGTTGGGCCGTGACCCCCGGTGGCTCCAGTGATTGTCTGGTCTTGCTATCTCAAATGTTGCTATGTTGCTTTGGATAAAAGTGTCTGCTAAATCAGTTGATGCCAATTGTACATGTCAAGCTAATTTTTGTGTCAAAAGGTCACGTGACTTGTTGCATAACTGTATTATTTAAAGCAAGTCAGTATGTGTTCATGTAAGTGTGTGTTTGTGTGTGACTTTCTATCCTCTGTCACATGTGAAAGCCATAAACTGCGGAATGCATCTGAGCAAGGGGGGGGGGTCATAAGGAGGGGTGTTTTAAAGACACAGATATCATTTAGGTTTCTATTAATGAAGTTTTACTGGTTTGTATTAAATCATTTGTAAGTAATTCATAATCTTTCTGACTGGTCATCACTGCATTCTTAATGATCCAAAATCAATCTAGACAGCCCCCCCCCCCCCCCCAGTGGTCCCAACCCATCCTGCAGCCTATAGTGCATACTGCACACGTTTAAGTGTGCAGGTGGCTCTGAGCATGCAGAACAGAGATGTGCGCCTGAGCACGATGTGTGTGTCACGGCCCCCACCCCCATCATTAATGGTTAAACATCCTGTTCCCATGCGGAGCCTTTTCATTGATATTCAGCTGCCAGCTCGCTAACACAACAGCAGATCCAGGATTGGGGGGGGGGGCTCCAGAGCAGCCGCCCAGCTGTTCAGCTCCCGCATTAAAATCCAGCACCCTGGCAGAGGCACAGATGCATCCTGAAGGTTTAATGCCATGCAGCTGGCAGGCGGCCGGGACGGCCTGAATACAAAAGGCTAAATCGGCCTGTTTGGTATAACCGAGCCCAAGGCATCAGAGAGGCTGCACGGGACTGTCCTCAGACACACACACACACACACACGCATACACACACACAGACACACACACACACATACGCACTCATACAAGCACACATGCTCACTGACACAGACACACATGCACACATATGCATTTACACACACACACACACACACGCACTCATACAAGCACACATGCTCACTGACACAGACACACATGCACACATATGCATTTATACAGACACACATGCTCACTCACACACACACAAACAGGCAGGCAGGAGCACGAGTAAAAGCAGCCTTCAAGGCCCAGGAAATATCAATATCCACGGCCACCTTCACTTATCTGTAAGACAAATTAAAAAGCGAAAAGCTAAAATGAAAATCATTAATAATAATATTGTTTTCTGTGTTATAATGTTATAATTACTGCTTTAGAGTCTCGGTGAAAATATGGATTTTAAGGTGACAGCAGAAAAAAGCCATTCATCCATTCCAAGAGAAATTGTTGCTAGTTGCTTTGTGGACGGCAGAATAGAAAAGTAAAACTCTGGAGTGAATAGCGTAGGGGTGGGGTGGGGGGGGGGGGGTTATCAGTGAAAAAAAGAGGGGGAAAAAAGCACAGAATGGGCGGTACAGGTTACAGGGCCATAGCAGGTTGGGAAACATTTATCTATGTGAGGATAGAGAGAGAAACGCCTTATCGCGCACTTAATGCGTAACAAAAAGCTGAATCCTCCCTATCTCCAACTGCTTCAAGAGAATCCATTTTTTAATTCTAAGAAATTTAATTGGAGCACATCAGTAATCTGCGGATGGGACACTGCATCCTTTAAGAAAGCCTTTGCAGAAGCTGGCGCTCAGGTTGGGTGAGAAGTTAAACCCCATTTTTTCCCCTAAAATTCCAGCTGATTTATTTCCCCATGCTATGTACGATGCTTTATACAAGATGTCGGCCAGTTGCCATTCTGTTTGCTAACATCAAAAACACACACGGCACCAAGGACGCTACCGAGTATGTCTGAGAGGCTGAACTGTTATGCACCGTCTTTGTCCATCCATCCCGGCTCTGAAACACAGACATACAATGCAGACAGGCAGACTGGCACTGTATTACCCAGGCAGACTGGCACTGTAGTAGCCAGACAGACAGGCAGACTGGCACTGTATTACCCAGGCAGACTGGCACTGTAGTAGCCAGACAGACAGGCAGACTGGCACTGTATTACCCAGGCAGACTGGCACTGTAGTAGC